AGGAGGAGGAGGAGGAGGCAGGAGGAGCAGGAGGAGGTGGGAGAAGCCATTTGGCCTCTTGCGGGCCAGCCGATCCCGATCGATCCATCGGGGTCGGTCGGCGCCTGCCGCCCGATCGATCGCGGTGGCAGGGCGCATCGCGCATCGGCCAGCCCCCGAGGCCGGGCTCACGCGCGCCGCGCGCCATCATCTGCGGCAGGGAGCCACCCGTGCCTCCCTGCTCCCTGCCGCACGCCGCGGCGCTTGCGGCCGCGCTGCGGCCCACCCCCCCAGCGGCGGGACGCCGCGACACCGTCGAGGAGGAGTTCCAGAGGGAGCTGCCCACCGCCGCGAGAGGCAGCAGAGAGCCCAGGACAGGCTCCTGCTCCGCTTGCGAGCCGCGGCCGAGCGCCTGGCCACCCACCACTCTGCCCAGCCAACGATGGCTCGTGACGGGAAGGGCAGAGGCAGTGGTGGCCGCAGCGGCAAGGGCCAGGCTCAGGAGGAGGCAGCATCGGCATCGGAGCCACCATGGCGCCAGGAGCGCTGGCAAGGCGCGAGCTGGCGAGATCAGCACTGGAGCGCTGCGCCGGCAGGAGAGGACGCGCCCTGGCGCAGGGAGCCGTCGCGGCCACGCCGTGCTGGCCAGGCCAGTCCTCACCCCTGGCAGCAGCAGCAGCAGCAGCAGCAGCAGCAGCCCAGTCAGCACCCCTGGCAGCAGCAGCAGCAGCAGCCCAGGGCGAGCAAGGGCGGCCAGGCCAGCTCCAGCAAAGCAGATCAACGAGCACAGAAGGTAATCGACTCAGTGGCGGCCTGCACGCTGGACCAGGCCACCACCCACCCAAAGTGGCAGGCGCCCCCGGCCGACCGCGCAGGCATCCAGAAGTTCTTGAGCACCGCCGATCAGAGGCTGAGGAAGCTGGGCGACCTGATCATTGCCAAGCAGGCCGCGGGGGACAGCACTGAAGAGCAGTTACGGGAGATCGCGTATCAGAAGCTGGTCACGAGAAGGCCGAACGACCAGCTGCAGGTGCTCAGCAAGAGGCGCAAGGCCGTCAAACTCGAAGTCATCGCCCTAGAAGCCAAGTCGAACGAGCTGCGGGACGACCTCAAGGCCAAGCAGCAGGAGTTGAGGCAGCTCGAGTCCAACGTCGCCGACGTGAGGGCTGTGCTTGCCGACGGCGGCGCGGCGGACGACGAGGGCGACTGGGACACGGACGGGTTCGGCTTGGCACCGAGCTGGGATGCTTTCCACAAGGCTGTGATCGACAGGCGCCTGAACAGCGAAGCACCTGGTGACGGACTCCCAGCTTGGCCATCAGGAGTGGTAGGGCAATCGCCACGACCAAGAGCCAGCTCGGCAGGCAGCGCAACCAGAGGCTTCGCAGATCAGGTGGCCAAGGCAAATGCGGAGCGGGCCCACCAGCAGCAGCGCCATGCCGAAGCCGAGCAAGAGTTCGCTGCCGAACTGGCGGAAGTAAGGAGGGTTGCTCGCGAACAAGCACTACGCCACAATGGCGAGCAGGCGAAACTGAGGCTGGCACTCAAGGAGGAGTCAGAGCAGCTGCAGCGCATCACTGCAGCGGAGAGCGCAGCCCAGCAGCAGCAACAGCAGCAGCACAAGGCCCTCCGACACGAGATCAAGAGGCAACAATACGAGCAGCTCGAGTTCGCGGCGCAGATGGAGGCCAGAATAATCAGCCATGACACAGCCTTCACTCATGCCAAGGCAGAGGCGGAAGCCGCGACACACCGGGCAATTCACCTGCATGAGCAGCTCGAGCAAGTACGAGCGGAGCACCTGGAGAAGCCGCAACCCCAGGACGGCGCCTACCAAGACCTAATGAGGGCAAGAGCCGAGGCACAAGAGTCACTGCGACGGGCCCAGCATGAGAGCGCCCAAGCGACAGCTGCAGCGGGTAATCTCAAGCAGCAGCTCGCCAGGCAGGAGCTGGTCATGGAAGAGAAGCTCCAGGAGGCCAAAAAGAACCACGCCCTCGAGATAGAAGCTGCCGCCGAAGCAGCCAGGGCCCAGGCAATCGACCAGGCTCAAGTGGTTGCCAACGCCAAGGGAAAAGGGGCCCTCCCGCCGGCAGAGGCGGCCAGGCTGCAAGGGATCGTCCAGACAGCAGCACGGCAGCAGGAGAGGCTCAAGCAGACCAAAAACGAGCTCGAGGCAGCTGAAGCCCGAATACACGAGCTACAGCAGTACTCCAAGCTTGAGGCGGGCGCTGCGCAGCGGGCAGCACAGGTGGCATATCATGAAGCAGCGGAGCTGAGAAGCGCCAACAAGGAGCGGCAAGTCCCGCATGAGGTGCAGGCTTTGCAGTTCGCCCTGCTAAGGACCAGAGCAGAGGAGGAGGAGATCGCGAAGGCCAGCCTGAAGGACAAGGAGGCAATGCGGGCAGAGCTCGAAGGCAGCGTTGAGGGAATAAGGGCGAGTCTCACCCGCCAAGTCATGATAGAAGAGGCGAACGCACATGACTTGCAGCTGCACACAGAGAGCCTGCGACAGGAACTGAGCAGCTACGCGGTGCAGCTGAGCGAGCAAAAGTCCAACGCAGAGGTGCAGGAGCAGGCGCTCGAGGAGGAGCTCGCCCAGGCCCTCACCTTCAGGATCGCCAGCATGGAGGAGGCCTCCGCCATGGAAGACTTCGCCAGTCAGCAGAGGACGGGCAGGGAGGAGGCTATCCACCTTGCGCTGCACGAAAGCCTCCAGCGCTCCAGCATGCTGCACACCGAGCTAGACGCCATCGCAAAGAAGGAGCAGCAGGGCGCGTCGGAGACAGAGGAGCTTAAGCTGAGGATGCAGAGCCTGGAAGCCATCGCAGCTAGCAGGGAACGCGAACGCAAGGCCATGGTCAACCTGTACGCCGAGATGAGGCAATACGGACAGGAGGGCTACGACTTCACCAAGAGGGCAGCTCACCATCTCGTCCAAGGGGGCCACCTCCCAACGTCCCAAGAGTCCATGGACGACTACCAGGAGGCCGCCGACCTGTACGAGGAAGCCAGAGGAGCAGCCGAGGCAGCGGCCGCCACAGTCGAGCCCCCTGTTGCGACCTTCCAAATTGGTGCAACTGAAGAGCGCCCAGCCAACCGGGGCCGCAGGCAGAGCAGCCCCTCCCCTCGGAGGCCCGCATCAAATAGGTCAGCCAGGTCAGCAACCCGCCAGACCGACGAAGGCGAGGCCCTCCTCACAGAGCGTGACAGGTCCAGGAGCCCCGACAGGCCAGACCCGCACGAGGAGGCAGAGAGATACGAGCGCGAACAAGATGAGTTGCACAGACAAGCTGCTGAGGAGAAAGCACAATGGGAAGCCGTACAGATGGAGGAGGAGCTGGAGTCCGTAGTGAGGGACCACGAGGCGAAGGAGATCCAAAGGCGCTACTACGAGGAGGCCCCCCTGACCCAGTTCGGCACAGCGGGCACGCAGGACTCACGAGTGGAGGACGACGGCTCGGAGCACGCGCCGATGATCTACCCCGCCAGGTGGCCGCCCTGGAGCCAGGATCACCCCACACCCGATGAGAGCGACGAGATGAGGGGGATCACGCAGCACGAGGCAGACACAGACCTGGCATCCACGTCAAGGGCTAGCTCGATACCAGCAGAGCAAGGAGACCCTCCCACCCCGACAGCATCTCAGGTAATCCTCATTCCAGCATCGCCAGCGCCACTCAGCGAGATGTCACTCACGCCCACAGTTCCATTCGGGCATGAGGAGCAGCGCGTCCACGGTGGTGGAGAGGGAGCCGGCAGCTTCGTATTGACCCCCCCCCCTGCGCCCCAGCAGAACGCGGAGGCGGCAGGGGCCAGCATCGAGAGGCAGTATGAGGGCATCGACATCATGACGCGCCAGCACACCTCGGCCGCCGCCGCAGCTGCAGCCCTCGAAGAAGCGTTCGGTCCAGTGCCCGCATTTCCAGGAGAAGACATCAGCCAGGCCCACAAGGGTCAGCGGGTAGACTCTGGAGAGTCAGGCATAGCCCGTTTTCGTGGCCGAGTGGCCCGCAGGAGGGATGAGACACGGGGCACAGCAACCCCCTCCCCTCCTGCAACTCCTGGAGCCGAGGTGCAGGCAGCAGCAGCGCCCGCCGAATCCCCCCGAGGGGGGAGGGGGCCTAGCAGCGCCGCCAGGCTTCAGGTTATGCATGACAGAATTCAGCGCCAGGAGGCGGCCGATGAGTCCAACAGGGTAGAGCACGACGGATGTGGGACTTCGTCACGCTCTCCGATCAGTTCGACAGCATCGATCTCCTGGGCAGCATCGGGGAGAGCAGCTGGGGCCCAAAGCCCGCAGCACGGCAGTGGGGTCCTCCACTACGATGCTCGACCTACCCACCACCAGAGGCTTGACAGCACGGCGGGCCCTGGAGGTAATTGCGACAGCCGTCTTGTAACAAATGGACCAGCGGAGATTCCGACAATCTCGCGCACCAGATCAAGTACTCCCAGGAGTCCAGGGTCTCGAGGGGCCACGACTCCAAACAGATGTGATACCGCAACGGGCATCGGCAGGGGGGTTGCCACTCCCAATCGCAGCAGCCAGCATCAGCAGCGGTATAAGTCACCTGGGTCCCGAGGGGCCAATGTGACACCACCACGGCCGACACGAGGGCCGCCCGCCGCGTCTCGAGGGGCGCTAGGCGGCAACCAAGGCGGCCCACTACCAGGGAGGAGTGAGGCACCCGCCAATCTGTCAGCACTCCAGGTCACAAGCCACCAAGATGGCTGCAAGGATGCGTTACCGGCTGCCCTTGCAATCAGTGTGCAACCCTCCGCCATTCGAGTCCATGAGATCGAGAACGTGGAAAGGACCTTTCTCGACGGTCAAAGCTCGGCTGGCAGCGAGGCAGAGGATGGCATGGAGCAGTGCTACGAGAACTGGAGGCAAGCGCGCGCAGTTGCAGCCTTCCGAACAGCCCAGCGGAGTGCACGCCGCGCACGGCGTGCTGCGGAGAGCCACAGTCGTCGGGACAACAGCAGCAGCCACAACAGATACCACGACCTGGCGGTGGATCCACACCCGTCGGGCTCAGCAGCTCAACCAGCAGCACCTGTGCCCCCAGTCCCGACGGGCCCAAGCAGCTCACCGCTGTCCAGCAGTTGGAAGCCGACGCTCCCCTCGGCATCAGCGCGCTCCCACCACGGCACGGGTGCTACCAGTCACCCAGACGCCCTGGATGGCGAACCTCATCGTCTACGTGACAGCATGCTCCACGCCCAATCACGCGAGCCCCTGTTCAGTCAGGCCGCGCGGGCTGGATCGGACAACTTGAACTACGATGAGGGGAGCCAAATGCCATCACAACAACCCGTGAAGCGGAGTGCGTCTCAGGCTGGAGCCATATCACCAGCATCCCCAACGCGTTCTCCGACGCCACGGCCACCTCCAGCACACATCACCACTACACCAAGTCCAGTTCCACAGGGCATGGGGCCGGCGCCAGACCACGGCATCGAGTACTCTCCCGAGTATATCAATGCAGAGAGGGCCAGGCGTGGCCGAAGGCGACCGCAGATCCCCACCACGACAGCACGAGAAAGAGGCCAAGCGACAGTGCTGCCAGTTCTCAGCCAGGAACCAGTAGCCGAGACACTTCGTGGCCGAGGCCGAGTCAACGTCTGCGACGACGTCGACACTACGACCCTGCACAGCATGGCAAGGTTGGCGTTGGAGATGTGCCCATCACGAGAGCTGCCGACCAGGCGGACACACATCTACACGGACGGCAGCTACAACGGCATCCCACACTCAGCCGCCTGGGCAGTTGTCATTGTCGACGAGTACGAAGACGGGAGCAACCTGCGAGGCCCGTTCAGCTTTCGGGGTTCCATTGCTGGCAAAGTCACCGAAACCCTAGACGATATGGTCAACAACGAGAAGGTGACGGCATACACAGCGGAGCTCACGGCAGTACTTTGGGCGTTGATGTGGGCCCTTGGTCAAGATACCGACGCGCCCATCGAGATCACGCCTGACGCCCTCAACGTCATCAACCTGGCCAAAGGCGAAGCCCAATGCCACGTACATCCGAGGTTGGGGGCAGTCATTCGCATACTTGCAGGCCTCCTCCAACAAGCCCGACCCACCCAGTGGCACCATATTAATTCGCACATCGGGCACCCTTGGAACGAGCTCGCTGATGGGATAGCAGATCAAGCCTCGGCCAGCGACCTGATGGACCCGAACATTGCAGCCGTACAGGCGATCGCCCACAACAAGTTCCTCTCCTGGGAATGGCTGCGATCAGCGCCAGACGCAGTCAAGGCCGCATACCCGCCCCTGCGGCATAAAGACTTCATCATTGAGGCCACTCAGCCGCAGGCAGCCCCAGGAGCGATCCAGAGGCCCATCAGCACTATCACCATCAAGGCCGACCTCAACGTGAACCTATGCACGTACAACTGCAGGTCACTCAAGGCCACCGTGAGCTTCAAGCCGGGCAAAGGCAAGGCGGCCGGCAAAAGCAAGCAGAGCCTCTCCAAGGCCACGCACCTAGCAGCACAGTTTGCTGACATGGGCCTGCACGTCATCGCCCTGCAGGAGACCCAGAGCGAAGGAGACGTCCGCAATGTAGGTGAATACGTCTGCTACTCATCAGGCCACATGCAGCAGAACAGAGGGTGCGACATCTGGCTCAACGTCTCCCAACCAATCAGCACGAGTGGGGCAGCGAAGTACCTAAGTGCCAAAGACACCCTCGTCCTCCACCAGCACGACAGGCTCTTGATCATCAAGACCCGCGTTGCAGGCACAGATATGGTTATCGCATCTGCATACGCACCCCACGAAGACTCCCACGCGGCGGAGAAGAGAGAATTCTGGGAGTCTGCTAAGCGATTGTCCGACAAGTACCGAGTGGACATCTTCATGGGGGACCTGAACGGGCGTCTTGGCGACTACGAGTCCCCAGGAGTTGGCACCAGCGGGTACCCAGAAGTGACCAACGGCAACGGCAAGCACATCATCAGCTTCGCTGCCGACACTAACATGGAGGTCATCAACACCACGAGGGATCCAGGCAGCAACTCATATACGCACGTCGGATCGAAGGGGCAGCGCCACAGGATAGACTACATCCTGCTGAACTCCTCGATCGCCCCATACGTCGCGAGCTGCAGCACGGAGCCAGGTCTGGACCGAGGCACAGCTGCACAAGACCACATACCAGTGCTAGCCAGCCTCAAGTGGGCCGTCTGCAAGACCACCAAGGCCTCAGGACCGAAGCCCGACCTGACCAACTTGAACAACGACGTCGCCAAGGCCAGCTTCAAGAAAATACTCAAGCAGGCCCCGATCATCCCATGGGAGGTGGACGTCAACACCCACTGCGAGGAGGCCACCAGGGTCATTAACGACGCGGCCATCCAGGCCTTCGGCAAGGCCTCCAGGGCAACGAGGAAGCCCTATGTCACCAAGACTACCATGGGCCTGATCCGAGCCAGGCGCCTCACACTTAGAGTCCACCGTGCAGTACTCAGAAGAGAAGCCCACGACGGCCAGCCTGGACGACTAGTAGCCCACGCCCACTCTCTTTGTGCAGGCGAAGTAGGGGACTCACTCTCTCTTTGGAGCAGAGAGCGTGGCGACGACGACGGCACCATTCACGACATCCACCACTACGCGCACCTCCTCCTGAACTGGACAATCTCGCCCATGGACTATGCCATGGCCATCCTTTCCTTCCTCACCAGGTCTGGGCCCATAGTTGCCGCGGCCGTCGAGAAGGACCGAAGCGCATTCCTCAGTCGGCTTGCCTCGACAGCGTCCTCCGCCTCAGCTGCGAACGACGCTGCGGCCCAGTGGAAGGCTTACCGAGACCTACTAAGGTACGGAGGGAGGAAGGCGAAATTCCCAGCAGGAAAGCCCATGCGGCTCGACAATGATGGAGAGGTGATCCACAACTCCCAGGAAATGGCGGACCAGGAGCTCAACCATTTCGCGAAGATACAGGCGGGGAAGATCGTGACAGCGGATGACCTTGCTGACAAGTACAATCACGACAGCAAGACCAGGCCCTTCGACGGCATGCTGGATCTCTCCATGGTGATGCCCCTGGCCGTCTGTCAGGCCCAGTTCGCTGCGGCCAAGGCTGGGACGCAAGGAGGCCCCGACGGGCTCACGAACGCTGTCCTCAGGGCGGCCCCCACGGAGGCAGCGAGGCTACTGCACCCCCTCTTCACCAAGGTGGCGACCACCGTGCGAGAGCCGCTGAGCTTCAAGGGTGGAGACCTGGTCGCAATTCCCAAAGGAAAAGGCGACCCAAGGTACCTCCAAGCCTACCGCGAGATCCTCTTGAACAACGTTCTGGGCAAGCACCACCACAAATACCTAAGGACCATGCTCAACACTACCCTCGCCATAGCGCTGGAGGACATCCAGGTTGGCGGCCGGCCCAAGCGAGGGGCGGACATGGCGGTCCTTGCAGCACGCCTCTTCACCGAGAGAAGTCAGGCCCAAGGGAAGTGCTCCATGATAAGCTGCTACGACTTAAAGGAGGCCTTCTACTCGGTTGTAGTCCAACTGGTACATGGTATCCCAGGTGAAGAGGACGAAGTCCAGGAGGTGCTAGAGAACCTCGAGGTTCCCCTGTGGGCCCAGCCGCAGCTGGAACACCTCATGGCCAACCCAGGGATACTCGACACAGTGTTGGACGGCTCCCACCTGGCTGCCCTCATTGCAGAAGGATATCGCAACAGGTGGACATCACACAGGTTTTCCCAGAACCTTATGGCACCGCACAAGGGCACGAGGCCTGGCGTGCCCCTGGCCGACGCGGACTTCAATCTGCTATTCGGCCGAGTCCACCGCATGATTGACAACTACCTGGCGCAGCGAGGACTACGACCTCAGGGCAAGCCTCTTGACAGCAGCTTCGCATGCGACAACGACCCCACAGATGGGCCACTCCAGGAGCAAGAACCACACGGCCTATCGTTTGTCGATGACCTAACGGGCATGCACGTGTTCACCAGCCCCGACCACATTCAGCATGAGGCCACCGAGTTCTGCGAAGCCGTCTACTGCGCCGCCAGCACCTTCGGCCTCCAGCTGCAACTCACCAAGACCAAGGTGATGATTGACTTCAGTGGGCCTGGGAGCCGGCAAGCGCGGGCCAGTTTCTACGCCGAGGGAGTGCCGAGGATCGAGGTCCCCCTCGCAGGGAGTTACGTCGAGGTGGTTCGTCACCACAAGCTCCTCGGGACCTACGTGACCGACAATGCATCCCCTGGGGTGGATGTCGCAGTGAAGGTAGCCACTGCAGCGACATCCACGAGGCCTCTCCATCGCGAAGTCCACAGGCGATCAGAGCTGGCAATCAAAGACAAGGCCTATTTAGCCGACAGCGTGGTGCTATCCCAGCTATTATACAATGCGTCTACCTGGCCTGAACTCACCGCAGGCCAGGCCAGGAATTTCAACAACCAGTACATCGTCAACTACGCTGCAGCGCAGAGGATCACTTGGAAAGTACGACAGAAAAAGGAAGTAACGAACACCCAGATCCTCGAAGGAGTCGACAAGCTGCCCCCAGAGATAGTCCTGCGACTTGAGAGGTTACGGCTATTTGGCAGGTGCCTCAACTGGGGACCCCTGCACCTCCGCCGGCTACTTAGCCAAGCATGGGACGGTAGTTACGGCTGGGTGGCACTGCTCCGCCGAGACCTGGATTGGGTCCGCGACCACACAGGACCTGACGAGCGTGGTGGAGCATACACGCTCGAGGACTGGAAGGACTGGGCCAGGAACGACTACCAAAGCTACCTCGGCGCAGTAAAGAAAGCTTGCCAACGTGGCAAAGCTCGCCAGTACGACCACGACCACCATGCTCGATGGAGGCTGCGACTCCAACGGTGGACCAACACGGAAGCCATCTCGTCCTTCCCAGACCAGCATTTCGAGCATCAGCGCAAGTACTTATGCTACCACTGTGGACGTACTGAAGCCAGCGCAGCAGTGCTACGAGCACACATCACCAAGGACCACACCTCGTCGGGGCATCCGATTTCGTGGGCAACTGGTTCGGTATGCTACGGATGCGGCATGGATTATCATACTACAAACAGGCTGGTCAAACACTTGCTGAGAGTGCGCAAGTGCGCTCGACATTGGAGAAAGACGCGCCCAGCAATCCTAAGTAGAGACGAGCTGCAGCACAACCAGCAAATTGTCCGCGACCAGCAGCAGGCGAACCGAAGGGCAGGCAGGCCTATCGACTGGGCAGAGAAGCCTGCAGTCCCTGCTCGCCCTCCAGAAATACATACGGACGAGGACAGCGACGACAGCAACGGCGGCTACTACGAGAGCCTTGAGCTGCCCTTCATCGAGGAGCAGCCACCGCCGCCAGCCGCTGTACCGAGGCCCAGACCAGCTCGGACGTTATATGTGCTGCATCTATTCAGCGGCCGTCGCCGAGACGGAGATGTTCAGGACTGGTTTGACCGCCTCAGCAGTCGGGCTGCTTGCGACATACACATGCTCAGCCTGGACATCGCCAACGACCCGACCTTCGGCGACCTGACATCCGAGGTCGCAGTCAGCAAGTGGCGAGACATGGCACAAGCTGGAAGAATTGCAGGGGTCATCGGCGGACCGCCGTGCGAGACCTGGAGCCGAGCGCGCCACTTGCCCCCCAATGGCTGCAGGGGTCGGCCACCAAGACCCCTAAGGGGCGGCAACAGCCTGTGGGGCTTTCGCTACCTTTCCCGCCCAGAGATGGAGCAAGTAGCGACAGGCAACCGCCTATACAGGACACAGCTGGAACTTATGTACATGTGCCTCAATCTGGGAGTCCCAGGCATGCTCGAGCACCCGTCTGAGCCCATCGAGGAGCACTTCGCCAGCTCCTGGAAGCTTCCCGAGACGCGCCATCTCCTGAACCAGCAGGGAGCCGAGCTGATCACCTTCGACCAGTGCACCTGTGGAGCGCGCTCAAGGAAATCCACAAGCCTGATGGCGGTATCCCTACCAACCCTCCGAGCGGAAATCAGGAGACTGCCTGGAAGTGGAAGGTGCTTTCACACGGCCTCCTACCATGCGGAGCTGGCAGGCATCAACGATGAAGGCCAGTGGCGCACCGCGCCGGCCAAGGAGTACCCGAACAGGATGTGCCAGGCCATCGCGACCGCACTGGTGAAGCAGATCAGGTGGCGCTTTGGCGAGTCGCCCAACGACGTCCAGGGGTGGCACATCGACGACGACGTGGCCCACTTCTACCAGCCGCTCGACCACTACAAGACCAGGGAGATGGGTCAGGACTACTATCGAGGCAGCAGGCGGAACGGCTCACCGACCTGGCTGGAAGAGGCAAGGGAGTGGGCCCGGCAGGACCGACCCGACAAGGCAATCGGCAGGGCCGCCACCTCGACAGGAGCTGTTCGGGCACAGGCTGACTACGAGGATCGTGATGTGGCGCCTTGACAACATGTACAAAAGGATCAGAACGCAAGTCCTGAGGAAGCCCCGAAGGCGTGGGAACACCTCAGGCTACGTCGCCAAGTTTTGCACAAGTTGTCAGGATGCAAGACCTGGGGAAGCCCCGAATGCGAGGGAACACCCCAGGCTCATGTCGCCACGTTTTGCATAGTGACGGACACGGCCGCCGTACAGCCAGGGCTCAGAAGTACCAGTCCGATGACCCCAACTGCACCAAGTATCAGTCAACGTTGCCCTGGTGAGGCAAGGATCAAACTTCGAGACGGGCTCGAAGGGCGGGGGGGCAGGACGAGGACTGCCCGCGCCCACCAGGGGGGATGGTGAGGGGCAGGGGGGGGGCAGGACGAGTACTGCCCGCGCCCCCGCGGTCCGCCCTAGCTCGCCACCCCCACCATTCCCATGGCGGAGACGGAGCTCCCGAGCGCCCAAGGGCGTAGCATAGGGCAGCGTTGACCTTCCTCATCGACAGCAGAAGAATCACCGGCCTGGGGTTCGCCCCCACCGAGGGCACTGTGACCCCTAGCCATAGCGGGACGAGGCAGGGCCGCCATGAACCCTGCTTGAAGTCGGTGCATGGAGGCCAGAGTGCGCCCGCAATCTATTCCACTTACCAGCAACAAGCCGACCCCCATCGACCTTAACCAGTACGACCACTACTTCATCGGCTGGGAACCGTACCAGGAGAAGAGCCCAACGCAGTCAACCAGTTCATGACCAAGGTGACTGTGACAAGACGAAGAGCCCACCAGCAACGAGGCAGGCTCACTGGCACGTCGAGGAGGCCGACCGCGACGCGGAGCGCCTCGCGCTGGGCCAGAAGGAGAAAATGCGGAAGCCGACGGCATCGCGGAGCTCCTCGCGCTGGGGGCCATCGCGGAGGCCGACGGCACCATGGAGCTCCTCGCGCTGGGCACCATGGAGCTCCTCGCGCTGGGGGCCATCACGGAGGCCAGGGGCGGGCGGGGTCGCCGCCCTCGACGCGATCTGAGGGCCCCGCCGCCCCCGACCACGCGGACGAGCTCAGCTAGGTCCCACCGAGGTGGGTGGGCCCTCGCCGAGCCAAAGGCCAGGGCCCCGCGGGCCCTCGCCCCCCCCTCGGGCCCTTCGCCGACCGGTGTTGGGCCCAACGGGCCCGTCTTTTTCCCTTCCCCTTTCCAGGATTGAAACGGGCCTCCCTCTCCCCCCTCTGTCGGCGGCCGACGGCCGCCGCGCTGCGCTTCAGGGCTGTGACCCTTACGGCGCGTCAAATAGCGGAAATAGCGGAGGTGGGAGGAGGAGGCGGGAGGAGCAGGAGGAGGGAGGAGGAGGAGGAGGAGGAGGAGGAGGAGGAGGAGGAGGAGGAGGAGGAGGGGAGGAGGAGGGAGGAGCAGGAGGGTGGGAGGAGGAGGAGGAGGATGAGGAGGAGGAGGAGGAGGAGGAGGAGGAGGAGGAGGAGGAGGGGGGGACCTCCGAAATGTTTACGCGGGTTTTTGTCCCTCCTGCTGGAGGAGTGACTCCGCGGCCGCGGCCGTCGCGCGGATCGACCAGACAAACGAATCGGTCCCCCCAGGGTCCATTTCGATCCGGTCGGTCCGGTTTGGTATCGTTTTTGGCCAGTCCGATCCGATTCGATCCCGATGTTCTGCCGACCCGATGCGGCCCGATGCTCGCATGGCGCTGCTGTGCATCCCGGCGCGGCCAGTCCGATCCGATTTCGTCTTCGTGTTGATGCGGACCGATCCGAGGTACGTTCAGGTCAGACCCGTTTTCGCGAGTCTATGCTGGTTGATCCTGCCCCCCTAGACGACGCCAACGCGAGTCGATGCCGGTTGATCCTGCCCCCTGGACGACGCCCTAGTCGATGCTGGCTCGATCCTGCCCCCCTCGACATACGCCGCCGCGAGTTTCAGCGCGTCGCGGGAGCGTGCATGGAATGTGCCCTGTACAGGGTGGGCGTCTTCCACCCGCCTTGCCAGCTCTCTCGGCTCTCGGCTCTCATTCGGTGGGAGCCACGGTGTGAGAACCGAGAGCCGAGAAAATCGGCAAGAACAATGATGTTGTTCGTGATGGTGATGATGATGATGAGGAGGAGGAGGAGGAGGGCTATGAGGTGGTGACGGTGATTGTGACGATACTGTTATTGACGATGGTGATGATGATCATGATGTGATCATGATCATGATCATGGTCGTTATGAGGGTGATTATGTTGTTGGTGATGATGATGATGCTGGTGATGATGATGCTGATGATGATGATGGTGATGGTGATGGTGATGATGATAATGGTGATGGAAAGGGTGATGATGATAATGCTGTTGATGATGATGAGGATGGGGATGCTGATGATGATGATGGTGGTTGTGGTGATGATGATGATGTTGATGCTGATGATGATCATGATCATGATCATGATCATGATGCTATTGCTGATGATGATGATGCTGATAATAATGATGATGATGCTGATGATGATGATGCTAATGCTGATGCTGATGATGATGATGCTGATGCTGATGATGATGTTGATCATTATCATGATCATGATCATGATCATGATCACGATGATATTGCTGATGATGATGATGCTGACGCTGATAATGATGATGATGCTGATGATGATGACGATGATGATGATGATGATGATGATGATGATGCTGATGCTGATGATGATGACGATGATGATGATGAGGATGATGATGAGGATGAGGATGAGGATGAGGATGAGGATGATGCTGATGATGATGATGATGATGATGATGATGATGATGGTGGTGGTGGTGGTGGCGGTGGTGATGATGAGCAGAACGTCGAGGAGGAGGAGGAGGAGGAGACAATGAGGAGGAGAACGAGGAGAAGGCGGAGGAGGGGGAGGAGAGGGACGGAGCAGGAGCATTGGTGCGATTGCGATTCAGAGCGGAGAGAGGACGAGGAGGGGGAGGAGAGAGCATGGGAGAACTGGGTGGCCGAGGAGGTGGTGGAGAGGGCGTAGGAGGGGTACGAGTGTGATGTGGGTCAGCTGCTAGAGCAGAAGCGAGCCGTGAAGACAGGACGAGGTTGAGGAGCGGTAGATTGAGACAGTTTGCAAGGAGGGGAAAAGGGGAGAAGAAGAAGAAGAAAGAGGAGCATGATGATGAGGAGGAGGAGGAGAGAAGGAGGATTTGGAGCAGATGTCAAATCCCCCGCCTGAGTGTACGATGCTCGGCTCTGCACCAAGGCCAGATCTGAGTTTGCTCGAGGTGTTGGCTTGACTGCCTGGATGGAGAGAAGAGGAGTTTAGTGCTGGTGAGCGGCATGCTGAGTCCGGGACGGCCAGCGTTGAGACGAGCACCGGCCTGTTCTGCCAAGGGGTTCGTCAGAAAAGCGCGCGCGCACCGTAATCCGACCGTCGCGTCAAAATTGGAAGGACCTTCATTCGCAGCTGTTGTCGTGGGGGTATTTTTCTGTATGTCGCAGACGCCTATGGCGAATCATTGCCGCCCCCTGCCTCGTACGATACGCCTATGTGGCCAAACGTGTGGGCAAAGTTTGGCCACGCTATTGGACCATGCGTTCCCCTAGCCGTTCAGGAAGCCCTTCGGGGAACACGAGGGGGAGGAATAGGAGGATGAGGAGGATGAGGAAAAAGACGGACGAAGAGTAGGATAATAAGCTTCTGGGATCTGAGGCCTCCTGAAAGCTACCTGGGGGGCTCTTGGAGGCCTCTTGGGGGCCTCCTTGGGCCTCCTGGGGGCCCTTGGGGGCCTCTCGGGGGCGTCTTTGGCAGTCTTACGGCGTCTTGGGGCCATCTTGGACCCTCTTGGAAGCCTCCCATAGCTGTCTTGGGCCTCTCTTAGGAGTCCTTTGGAGGCCTCTTGGGCCCTATTTTGGCAGTCTTGGGGCCCTCTTGGGCCGTCTGGGGGGGGGTTCTGGGGGTCTCTTGGTCTTGGGGCGATGTCGGGAACCTCTTGGGCGGTCTTGGACGCTGCTTAGACTAACAGCGCTTATGCAAAACGTGACGCTTTCCTGTGGGAGTGAGACGATGCTTGCTTTGGGGGGTCCTTTAGAAGGCCTCTTGGGGCGTCTTGGGGGCCTCTTGGGCCATCTTGCTGCCATCTAGGTCCCTCTTGGGACGCTCCTGGGACGTCTCGGGGCCCTTTTGGACAGTCTTGGGGGCCTCGTGGCACCGACGGTGGGCCGTTCGCACGGGCTGAGAGGGATCCTCAAAGGACCGGAAGTCCCGGGTGACCCTGTAAAGGAGCGTCCAGAAGGCGCCCGGGACCAGGGAACGGGGGGATTCCGGTAAGAGTGGGGCCGCAGGGTTCCATTTAATCCAGATAAATGGACGGGAATACATTCACGCACAAGCATATACCGATACGTGCACACACATGTATGTATACACATACATATTTTTGCATGCGAAATTATTAACACCTACATATATACACATGTACATTCACATACAGATAAACAAACATACAGACATGCATGCAGACATACAGACTTCGTTATATGCATGCGTGCGTGCGTGCGTCCATACCTGCATGCATGCATGCATACATACATTCATGTTTACATGCATACGTGCAGAGTACATCCATAATTACGTACATGCATCCATATATACATACATACATGCGTACATGCATACATGCGTGCATGCATGCATACCTGCAGACATGCAGGCATGCAGTTATGCAGGCACGCATGCATGCATGCATGCATGCATGCATGCATGCATGCATGCATGCATAGACGCATACTTGTATACATCTATACATGCAAACATGCACACGTGCATATATGCATACAAGTAGGCATGCACGCATGCATCCATACATGTATACATGCACACGTGCAGCCATCGACATACATATATACAGATATACATACATGCCTACATACCGATATATACATACATACATACATACATACATACATACAGACAGACAGACAGACAGACAGACAGACAGACAGACAGACAGACAGATATACATACATACGTGCAAACACACATGCATACTTGCATGTATGCATACATACATACGCGCATACATACATACATGCATACGTACATACATACATACATACATCCACACGAGCATACACACACCAGCATACATACAAGCATACATGTATACATGCATAAATGTATACGAATAGCTTCAATGATGCATACAACCATACAAACAGGCATACAGATGTCCATGCATAAACACGTACATCAAACATGCACCAACATACATAAACACATACACACATAAGGACCTCCATACCCGCATACAGGCAGACAAACAGACAGACAGACAGACATGTATACATGTGCATGAATGTATGCATACATTCATATAAACATGCAGACATACATACAGACGTGCGTACATACAAACAAATATCCAAGTATACACACAATCATATAGACAGGCAGACAGACAGACAGACCGACAGAAAGACAGACAGACAGCCAGCCAGCCAGCCAGACAGACAGACAGGCAGACAGCCAGACATACGCGCTGAGCTTCAATTCTAGACGCCTCGCGTAATCTCACCAGCCCATCCAGAAACGATGTCCAGGCGTGTTGCCCGGATCAGGCATGTGGGGAGCACCCAGTGGATTAAAGGGTGGGAAGCCGGCATACCCCAAGAGGCGGAGGATAGAGGAGGAACAAGGGCATGAGGAGGAGGAGGAGGACCAGTGCAAAAACCCAAGAGTCATCAACGATGTTGGAATTAAACCCCTCCCTCCAAGCTCCCTCTTCATAGGCCCCTACAACGGTTCATTTCCATTGAGGAAACTGCCTCGTTGGAAGACAACCGTTTGAAGACCTTCAAGTATGTCCAAACATCGTTCTCGGGATTTCCACGCCACGGATCAACCTGACTGCTGCGCCCTGACGACCTGGAATCGTGCCAGAGCGCCATTTTTGAGACTTCAACACCGCAGCTTAACATAATTGCTGCACCCGCATAATCTTGAATCCGTCCAAAATACACTCTGGTACGTTGATCATGGGAATCCGTGAAACTCTTGCAACTGTTTTTAATGAATGTGCGTGACGCCAAGGGGATAGCCACATTTTGAAAACGACCCGCCGTCAATCCGTGAAACTCTTGCGAAGTTTAAAACGAATGCGCGCGGCGCTACGGTGAGAGCCACAGTTTGAAAACGGCCCGCCCTCAATCCGTGAAAACTTTTCGGATTTTAAGACAAATGCGCGCGGCGCTAAGGCGAGAGTCACATGTTGAAAACGACCCGCCGTCAATGCGTGAAACTCCTGCGAAGTTTAAAACGAATGCGCGCGGCGCTAAGACGAGAGCTACATGTTGAAAACGACCCGCCCTCAAACCGTGAAACCCTTGCGAATTTTAAAACGAATGTGCGCGGAGCGAAGGCGAGAGCCACGTTTTGAGAACGACCCGCCCTCAATCCGTGGAACCCTCTCGAATTTTCAAACGAATGTGCGCGGCGCTACAGCGAGAGCCACAGTTTGAAAACCACCCGCCCTCCATCTGTGAAATTGTTGTTTCTTAAAGCGACAGGGAGAAGTTGCTTATAAGGAAAACAATGGAGGAGGAGGAGAAGGAGGAGGAGGAGGAGGAGAAGGAGGAGGAGGAGGGGGGGGGGGAGGAGGATGAGGAAGAGGAGGAGGGCGAACAGGAAGGCCAGAGGCCTCTTAGATGCTTCTCGGAGTCTCTTCGGATGCCGCTCGAGAGCCTCTTGTAGGCCTTCTGGGGGGTCTCGGAGGCCTCTTAGCGGCCCTGAGTGCCTCCTGAAGCGTCGTGGGTGCCTCGGGGGAGCCTCTTGGGGCTCTCTTGGGAGCCTCTTGGGGACCTCTTTGGGACCTCCTGGAGCCTCTTGAGGCCTCCTGGGCGCCTCCTGGGGCCGTCGTGGGCTATCTTGTGGCACCCTTGGAAGCCTTGGGGGTCTTCTTGGGGTTATCTGGGATGAGATGGATCAAAGAAGGGTGGTCCTTAATCAGGGTCCCCCCTCCCAGGAGGCTAAAATGGGCCCAACACCGAGGCCACCTTGGACGCTCCAATGCCTCGTGGAATCCCCCCGTCCAGGCTCAGGGCAGGGGGTTGGAGGAGGAAACGCTCTAAGCGACTCACGCCCTTCATGGCTGATGGGACTTGTCGTAACAGCTGATGGGGAGCACACACGTGGTAATTCCTACCTCTACGACCACCCTTCGGGTGATAAGGAGGTTGGGGGGTGGGGGGAAAGAACCAACTGCTGGCAAGTGCCATGGGTGTGATGATGACGATGCTGGTGACGCGCCCTCGGGTTAGCGACGGCGCATGATGATGATGTTGCGCTGCGATGTAATGTCACTATCGTCCCCGCTTTCGATCTCACTCGATCGATCCCACGATCGACACCACGGCCAGTCTTAGTTCCAATGGATCAACGATCGATCCCATTGTGCTCGCCCCAGGGGGGGACTGCCTGTCCCCGCGAGATCTGCACGACCCAGGGGATGTCGCCTCCCTGCGCATCCGACCGCGCGAGCACAGCCAATGTCACAATCAACCTTACTGTCGATCTCACTGTTGATCTCACGATCCACCCCATTCTAGCGATCTCACCATCGGTCTCACTATCGACTTCAGCATCGATGCCAAGGCGACCGCCGGCGGAACACCGACGGGGCACGAACGGGACACCAACAGGACACCACAGGACACAACGGCGGGACACCCCGGGCCACCACGCGCCAAGCGGGGGCGGAGAGGCGGTCCATTGCATCCAAATCGCCCCAGCGACGGCGGGGTCATTCCTCTCGCGCGCACGCAGCTTCGCCTCGCCCGCACGCACGACACGAACACGAAGCCGAAACCGATGTCCCCGTGGGGGGCTCTCCGTTCCACTGCGATCTCACCCTCAAACTCAGACAGTGGGTATCGCGGGCAGCGTTGAAACTATCGAGTGTGTTCTTCTGCATATGCATGGTTGACCGTAATTCGCGCAGGAGAATATCGTCGCACGGCTTGTAGACTGCGCCGCTGCCTAGCTTTCTGAGGCGTTGCACTTGCGCATGATGGCCCCTTGGGGTCGCTTATGATGTTCGGGGTTCCCTGGACGGCCTGGGGTTGCCTGAGCTCTGTCGTTGTTCTGCTGGCGATCGTCTACGGCCATGGGGACTCAGCACGGGCTCTCGAGTGGGAGACCCCTCTTCGCGACTGCAGTCCCAGTGTCCACCTCCTAACCCCCGCTCCTTCTCACCGTCGTCTCCTTGCTCCTGCCCTCCTCGCCCTCTCTGTCTTCATTCTTTCACTCTACCTGATTCTGCTTTGGTTACGTGCCTGTTTCTCCTCCTGAGCTGCTGCTCCCTCTCCGCCCGGCCTCCTCGTGTGCAGCTTGGGCCCACCGCAGCTCCTCGCCCTCGACGTGGTTATCCTCGTCCACCTCCTTCTCGTCTTGCCTTAGCCATCCCGCTGTCCCCGTCTTCTCTGGCCACAAACGGAACATCACATAGTTCGGCAGACGTTCCCGAAGCGCATTGCCAGCAGCTTCGCTGGCAGTGCGCAGGCTCGGTGTTATCCTTGTGTTACTGATCGACTTGGTTGGTGACTTACGTCGTAGAGCTGAAGTTGACCGATGTCCCTGCAGATATGGTGTTGGAGGCGTTACGGAAATGTACCATGGCATGCAAACGTGATGCAAGCCAGCGCGTATCGATGCGAATGCCGCGCGTTGCCGCTCGCGTTCTACTTTGCGGCGTAGTTGTGATTGAGCGGTACGTGCCGTGGATGTGCTCCAGCCCCAGCTCTAGATCTGCCCCGTACGATTCGTCGTCGTCCCTCTTGCTCCCACCATGGATTGCAGATGCCACCACTTTTTGCCGTCTACATTGGACACTAGTGCGTGCATGTGACAAAGGCAGGATGGAAGAGGACGGGCAGAGAGATGAAGAATCATACGATGCGACTCAAACTTCTCTGTGTAGGTGTGCTGCCCAGTTCCCGAGGTGGAGATCGTGAGGCAGATTACAGAGGCGCTCGTGTGGGGCGAGCAGAACGACTCCAGTCTGTTCGACTTCTTCTGCGAGAAGGCGCTTGCATTCAGCAACATGAGGGATGCGGCTGGTAGATCCAGCCTTCGTCCCGCTGTTCTGCGCAGCGCAATACAACACAGGCGAACATGAAAACGAAGCCAAGCGTTTTACGCGGGACGTGTCCCCACCAGCCCCTCCAGAAGCCCTACTTGGCCAGTTGCCATCCGAGAGGTTGCGTAGGATCCGACGTGAATCAAAACGGGCGAACACACATTAAAGCAAGAGGGAGCAGCTCCAGCATGCATCCGAAATGTCTTTCGCATCCTCACTAATTGTAGTGTGTGTAGATACCCTTAGGTCTGTTCAGCATGCCCAGTTCAACCTCAGTCATAGGTATCCAGGCTAGCTCCCTGAAGCCTAGTTTTATCTACCTCTGCTTGGCCTCGCATAGCCCAACTCAGCCCAGGCAAGCCTCGCGTGCCTGCTGGCGGGCTCTTCTGACACAGGTGGAGGCCTGGAGAGGCAGGAGTGAGGAGGGGGAAGAGGAAGAGGACGACGACGGTGGAGGAAGGCAAGGCAATTGAGGAGGGAGAGGGAGGAGAAGGAGGAGAAGGAGGAGTGCGGAGTGCGGAGTGCAGAGTGCGGAGTGCGGAGTGCGGAGTGCGGAGAGGGAGGAGGAGAGGTGGAGGAATTTGGAGGAGTAGTGAGGAAGGAGGAGGAGGAGGAGGAGGAGGAGGAGGTAGAGGAGGAGTGCGGAGTGCGGAGTGCGGAGTGCGGAGAGGGAGGAGGAGAGGGACGGAGAGGAGGAGGAGGAGGATGAGGAGGAGGAGGAGGAGGAAGAGGGGCATGAAGACGACGAGAGCGAGGACACGGGGGAGGCGGAGGCCCCCCAGAGGCCACGAGAGGCCAAGCGAGGGCCAGAAATGCCCGAGGGCCTCGGTGCTCGACCCTCCCCGATCCCGCGGGAGAGCGAGGCCGAGAGCCGCGGCACGGGATCTCGAGCGGCCTCCTCCTCCCCCTCCTCATCTTGCTCCTTCTCCTCCTCCTCCTCCTCCTCCTCTTCCTCCACCTCCTCCTCCCCCTTCTCCTCCTTCTCCTCCTCCTCCTCCTCCTCCTCCTCCTTCTCATCCTTCTCATCCTTCTCCTCCTCCTCCTCCTCCTCCTCCTCCTCCTCCTTTTTCAGTGAACCCTTTCAGTGAGGGCTCTGTGCCGCGCCGACGGGCGGCGCGGCGTAGCCCGTCAGTCCGGCGGCCTCAGGTGGGCCCCGAATTCGTCCTTCCCGAACTTCTTTGCGACGGACGCCCTTCCTTTGCTCGCGAGCTGAGGGGCGCCCGACCTTCTCTTGCCGCGTGGCAGCTCGGCTGAGCTGGCGGCCCCCGTATGTTACACGGGGGGCGGGCCGTGCCCCCCTTCGGCCCGTGGGCTGGGGACGGCCTCGCCGCGGCGCCGCCTCCTTCTCTTGGCGTGAGCTCCTCTAAGATGTCGTGCATGCTGAGCATCGCTTCTGAGGACCCTGCTCCTGTCCTCCTTGTGGGCGGCCTCCTTGCGTTCACGATCTTCAGAGCTGTTGAAGACCCTGCTCCTGTCATTCTTTCAGCTGAGGTTGTGGTAGGCTCATCACGCCTCGCTGCTGAGGACCCTGCTCCTGTCCTCCTTTCAGCGGTCTGGTCAAGTCGAGGTGGTGGTTGTTGTTGGTGGGGTGGAGGTACAAGGGTTGTTTGTCTTTGTTCTGCCTCGCAGCTGAGGACCCTGCTCCTGTCCTCCTTTCTGCGGGCGTGCCTGCTGGAGATAGGTTATGGGGGCACTGCTCCTGTCCTCATGTTCGGCGTGTCCAGGGCGTGCTCTTCGAGCCTCGCTGTTGAGGATCCTGCTCCTGTCCTCCTTTCAGCGGGCTCTGTCATGGTTGCGTCGTGCCGCACTGCTGAGGACCCTTCTCCTGTCCTCCTTTCAGCGGGCAATCGAGGTGGTGATGGTTGTTGGATGAATGGTGGTTGCGGGGTGGGTGATCGGTCGGTGGTGAGCCCCATGGGTTGTGGATGGTCGTCTTGAGTGTCTATGGTAAGGTCGTGGGGAGATCGTATTGTTGCTGGGGTTGTGGTGAGGGTAATGGGCGCACTTGAGAGGCCTCCATGCACCGACTTCAAGTGGGGTTCGTGGCGGCCCCACCTCGCCCCGCTATGGCTAGGGGTCACGGTGTCCTCGGTGGGGGCGAACCCCAGGCTTGGTGCTTGCTGCTGTCGTCGGCGGGGAATGTCTCGGCTGCCTTCTGCTTCGCCGCTTGGGCGATCGGGTAAGCTCCTCCTTCGCCATGGGAATGGTGGGGGTGGCGAGCTAGGGCGGACCGCGGGGGCGCGGGTAGTGGCCGTCCTACCCCCCCCCCTGCCCTTCACCATCGCCCCTGGTAGGCGCGGGCAGTACTCGTCCTGCCCCCCCGCCCTTCGAGCCCGTCTCGAAGTTTGATCCTTGCCTCACCAGGGCAGCGTTGACTTGTGGTGTGGTGTGGTAGGGCGTTCTTTGGGTCGTGGGTTGTAGCTGGTCGGTGGTGCTTGGCAAGAGTGGAGTGGGTGTGTAATGCGGCTCGCATGTGTCCGCTGACCTCTTGCTCGTGCTGCCGCTGCCTTCAGCAATATTACAAAACGTGGCGACTTGTGCCTGGGGTGTTCCCTCGCATTCGGGGTTTCCCCAGGACATGCGTCCTAACGCCTCTTGCAAAACTTGGCGACGCTGCCTGAGGTGCTCCCACGCACTCGGGGCTTCCTCAGGACTTGCGTCCTGACGCCTTTGAGCTTGTCGTCGGTGACACCCTTCGTGGCGTTCGTCTTCGGCATGAGGCGGTACTTCGTTTTCCCGTTCTATGTAGTAGGCGTCGTTGGTGTTCAGGTTCTGGCTGGTGGGCGCAGCGGTTGCGGTTCTGAGGCCCCATCTAGCCACAATGTTGCCGTCGAGCAGGTCGGCGATGGTGAAGTCGATCTCCTCTTCGTTTGCCGTATGCATTATTTTGCGGAGGTCGCCGCGGGCGCCGTTGTCGAGGATCTGCATGGCGCCGAGGTCGTAGTGGTTCGTCGGGGTCTCGTAGACGGTCGCCAGGTTGGCGATGTACCGATAGTCGGGAGTCTGTCTGATGGTCGACTCGGCCGAGATGGTTGTTACGAATGGTACGTTGGTCGTGGTCGCCATGAAGATCATACGCAAGACTTCTGACGTTGTTGGCGGCGAATATCTCGTCGGCGATAGTCCCGGAGACTTGAGGCGTTCCCCGGGGTGCCTCTGGGATGCGCCGCTTGCTTGCTCTGCTGCCTGGACCGTCGGTTGCATCGTGTAGGTGCCAGGTTCGTCGTGGGAACTCTACGTATATGGCCGCTACCTCGCCATGTAGGATCCTGCATTGTGCTCGCCGAAGTACTGTCGGTAGTTCTGAGGTCTGGCCATTGCTGGGGATTGCGATCTGTGCGTAGTCCAGGCCGCTGATGCTCGTGATCCCGTTGCTGGCCATGATCTGTTGAAGGTCGGCAGCCTGTCGAGGGCGGTCGGTGATGAAGATGATCTCCTGGCGTTCGGCTGGTTCTGCAGGCGAGCTCGCGGGTGGTCTGCTTGGTGATGACTCAAGTCTGGCGAATACTTTGGGTAGGACGGGCGACGTCTCGAGGAGAGGCAGCGGCGTGGCGTCGCACGGGTAGGCTGGCTTGTCGCTGAAGGTTGGGTGTCGCCCTTGCTTCTTGTTGGCGTTGGTGGCCTCGGCGATGGCGGCGAGGTTCTCTGCTATTTGCTGCTCCGTCAGAGGCTCCATCGTCTGGGTGCGCCAGGCATACCAGGATTTGCGGCAACGGTGAGCCACCGATAAGTGCTTGATGAGCCTCTGAAGAGAGTGGTGCTCGGTCTGGCAGCATCGGCACGCGGCGCCTGTCGCCCAGGAGCGCGGGCCTTCGTGGTCTGGACGATCCCTGCCCATGTGGATTAGCATGCCTTGCCTGGAGGCGACTCGGCCGCAGGCGTAGCAGACGCACTTCTGGCTGTTGGTGTCGTCGCAGAGGTCCAGCCCTTCAGTTGTGTGAGCTGCCGAGGTCATCAGGATGTCCTTCTGGAGCTTGGCGCCTTGAGCTCGGTCGCGAGTGTGGAGAATGTATGCCTTCGAAGCCGCCTTGACCGCGTTGGCGAATAGCTTCGGCTTCTGTCGGGCCCAGTTGATGATGTCGCGGTCGTGCTGGGTTTGGCTGGGCCACCTCTCTTTTGGTAAGTACGTTCGTAGGAAGTCGAAGTCTTTCTTGAGCTGGCGGCTCCATGCGCCCTTTCGTTGGCGCTGGCCGTCGAGTAGCTGAAGTAGGACTGCTGGAGCATGATTCAGGAGTCTAGGCAAGTATCGTAGCCGCGCGATCGACTGGTGGGTGATGAAGTCGGGTACTCCTGTCTTGGCGATTGCCTCGGCCTCGGAGATGTGCTGGTCGGGTGAGTTGGTCTTGGGTAGTGAAGCTGCGACGCGGCATGGGCCCATGTACTTGGCGCATATGTGCTTCAGGTCCTTCAGGGTCAGGTCGCTCCAGACATGGCGGTTGTAGGTAAGCGAGGATGTCGAAAAAAACAGTGGACGCACTTGACCCTGGCTTTCTGCGAGAGCTTCTCGCGGCGGGGGATCTGCTTCTCCAGAGGCCGGGCCGCACCAAGCGCACGGTTGACCCTTTGGCAGATCTCTGGCCCCATGACCCCGCCCGCCGAGATGATGGCACCGAGGGCTTTCTGTTGCGTTACCAGCTGCACCTTGATAGCAAGTCCGTCCAATTCTAGGTATGCGATGCCCTCCTTGGCAATACGTTGTTTCTCCTTCTTGGCCCCCGCGCCGTAGTGCATGAGGATGGCCTTGGTCTTTTTCTGGGCGTGGCTTCAGGCCACGCTGGAATGCTGCTGTGCAGAGCCTGGCAGCTGCCAGAGCTGTCGTGCTGATCAGTTCGTTGGCGCTGGCGGTCGAGTTGTAGTCGGCGAGGTCGTCGACGAAGGACATGTTTCTGAGCGCGCTTCCTTCGTGAGGGGTAGGTGAAAAGAGAGGCTCACTGCAGGCCTCTATC